GGGGGACATGTGGTGCTGGCTGGAAATGGGAATACAGGGATGTATGGAATGTATGGGGGGGACACGGTGCTGGCTGGAGGTGGGAATACAGGGATGTATGGGATGCACAGGGGGTGATGTGGTGCTGGATGGAGATGGGAATACAGGGATGTATGGAATGTATGGGGGGGACACATGGTGCTGGCTGGAGGTGGGATACAGGGATGTATGGAATGCAGGACATGGTGCTGGATGGAGATGGGATGCAGGGATGTATGGGATGTATGGGGGGGACATGTGGTGCTGGATGGAGACAGGAATATAGGGATGTATGGAATGCACAGGGGTGACACGTGGTGCTGGCTGGAGGTGGGATACAGGGATGTATGGAATGCATGACATGGTGCTGGCTGGAGATGGGATACAGGGATGTATGGGATATATAGGGGGGACACATGGTGCTGGCTGGAGATGGGATGCAGGGATGTATGGAATGTATAGGGGGGACACATGGTGGTGGATGGAAATGGGAATACAGGGATGTATGGAATGCACAGGGGGGACACATGGTGGTGGATGGAGACGGGAATATAGGGATGTATGGAATGCACAGGGGGGACACATGGTGCTGGATGAAGGTATGGATGTATGGAATGCATGACATGGTGCTGGATGGAGATGGGATGCAGGGATTTATGGGATATATAGGGGGGACACGTGGTGCTGGCAGGTGATGGGAATACAGGGATGTATGGAATGCACATGGGGACACATGGTGGTGGATGGAGGTGGGATACAGGGATGTATGGAATGCATGACACGGTGCTGGATGGAGATGGGGAGGTGCTGGCTGGAGATGGGAATACAGGGATGTATGGAATGCACAGGGGGGACACCTGGTACTGGCATGAGGTGGGAATACAGGGATGCCTCTAGGGATGTATGGAATGCAGGGGAGGGTGCAAAGGGCATTTGGCAGTGCAGGAGATGGAAGGGTTTGTATGGAATGCACGAGGGGTGCATGTATGGAATGCAGAGGGGATGGAGGTATGGAATGCACAGGGGAAGTACATAGAATGGAGAAGGGTGCACATATGGAATGCAGAGGTGTGTTTGTGTGGAATGCATGAGGATGTGTGTATGGAATGTGTAGAGGGTGCACGTATGGAATGCATGAGGGGAGGTGTATGAAGTGCACTGAGGGGTGTGTGGGATGGGGAAGGAGCACGTATGACATGGGGTGGATGCATGGAATGCACAGGGGTAGGGATGTGTGAAACACGGAGCAGGAGGGTGTGGGATCCATAAGGGAGATGTGAAATGCAGGGAGGGGGATATATGGAGTGTCTGTGGGGATGTATGGAAGGCATACAGGGATGCAAAAGGGGAATGTATGTGATGTGTAAGGGGGGAGTGTATGACATGCTCAGGGGAGATTTGGGATGCATAGGGAGGTATGTGATGCATAGGGAGTACATGGGATGCATAGAGAGGTATGGAATGTATAGGGGAGGTATGGAATGTATGGGGGAGGTATAAAACATATGGGTAGTACAAGGGATGCATAGGGAGTTATGGGATGCATGGGGAGTACATGGCATGCATAGGGAGGTATGAGATGCATGGGGAGGTATAGAATGCATAGGGAGATACGGAATGTGTGTGGGAGGTTTGGAATGCATGCGGAGTACATGGATGCATAGGGAGGTATGGGATGTATTGGGGAGGTATGGGATGCATAGGGGAGTATGGAATGCATGGGGGAGGTTTGGAATGTGTGCAGAGTATATAGGGAGGTATGGGATGCATGGGAAGTACATTGGATGCACAGGGAGGTATGGGATGTATGGGAGGTATGGAATGCATAGGGAGATATGGAGTGCATGGGGAGGTTTGGAATGTATGCGGAGTACATGAGATGCATAGGGAAGTCTGGAATGTATGGGAGGTATGGAACATATGGGTCGTACAAGGGATGCACAGGGAGTTATGGGATGCGTGGGGAGGTATGGAATGCATAGAGGGGTGTGGAGTGCATAGAGAGGTATGGGATGCATGGGGGAGGATTAGAATGCATGGGGAAGCATGGGATGCATGGGGAGCACACAGGATGCATAGGGAGGTTTGGAATGCATGGGGAGCACACGGGATCAGCGCCTGGCCCGGGACAGGGACAGCTGGCACACACCTGGCACACACCTGGCACACACCTGGCACACACCTGGCACACTGAGTGCTGCAGTGCCACGTGTGTGCCCGGGGCTCGTGGCACCGCGGGGTGACGGCAGCGGGATCCCCCGGCAGAGCTGCCCTGGGACCAGCCCAGCGACAGCTGCCAGGAATACAGCGACTGGAAGGACAGGAAAACCTACCTCCCACCTTGGAAGAAGATCGATTCGGCCCCCTTGGGTAAACACACAGCAGCACCCAACCCACGTGTCCATGTATGTGTGTGTGTACACACGTGCACACACCACGTTGTATTCCACCCCCTCGTCTCCATTCCACCCCCTCGTCTCCATTCCACCCCCTTGTCTCCATTCCACCCCCTTGTCTCCCCCAGCGCTGCTGCACAAGATCCTGACGGAGAGCCCCTCGGCGAGGATCACCATTCCCGACATCCAGAAGGACCGGTGGTACAGCAGACCCCTCAAGAAGGGTAAGGGGCCGCCAGGGAACGCGCTCGTTCCCCCGGATTTGAGGGTCACTGGGTGTCCTGTCCCTTTGCAGATGTCAAGCGGGCCCGGCTCTCCTCGGGAGGGGTCACCGACTCCCCTGGTGGCTTCTCCAAGCACATCCGATCCAATATGGACTTTTCCCCGGTGAAGGCCGCTCTGGGGTGAGCCTCCACTTCCCTGCACACAGAGTCTGCAATTCCTTGTGCCCCGCAGGGCTTTCCCGGCGTTTTCCCCAGGAGGTGGCTGGGTGGAAACCCCTCACACCACCCCTGCGACCACCCTAAACCCTACAAAACCCCGTGCAATTCCCACACTGGGCTCTCTCCAGCATCCCTAATCCCCGTGTCCCTGCCCTTGCCTTGCAGTGAGGACAAGGCGAGCTACTCCACGTCGCAGCCGGAGCCCGGCACGGGCGGGATGCCCTGGGAGAGCGGAGCAGGGAGCATCGACCAGCTGGTGCAGGGCATCAGCTTCTCCCAGCCCGCCTGCCCCGAGCACATGCTGGTCAACAGCCAACTCCTGGGCACACCCGGCTCCTCCCAGGTCAGGGGCTGCAGGGGGGCACCTGGAACCGCCTGGAATATCGGGGTGCTGCCTCACGGTGTTTTTGGGATGTGGCTGGGCGAGGTGTATCCTCTCAGGATGTTGCCTCACAGTGTTTGGGGCGCAGCTCCGCACCCTCAGTGGTGTCAGGATGCCCTTTGCAGTGGTTGAGGGGCTGCTCTGTGGTGTTTGGGAGCAGCTTTGCCTGATATGGAATATCAGGGAGCAGCCTGGCAATGTCTGGGACACAACTTTGTGGTATTTATCACCCCAGGGTGCAAGTTTGGAGGATTTGGGGCACAGTTTTCAGTATTTTTAGTACCAGGAAGCCACTTTGCCAGGGATTTGGGGTGTCTGGGGGGCAGCTTCTTGTCTGATTTACAACATCGGGGTCCAACACTGCACTGTGTGTAAATTGGGGTGCAACTTTGTATATGTGACATTAGGGAGGAGCTGTAATCTCAGGAAGCAACGTGGCAGTGTTTGGGGTGTGGCTGGGTGAAGTTTGTCATCTTGGGGTGCAGCTCTGCAGAATTTGGGGGACAGCTTCATGTCTGATTTACAACATTGAGGTCCAACATTGCACTGTGTACAATACTGGGGTGCAACTTTGTGGTTTATGTTTGACATTGAGGACTATATGGAATGTCAGGGAGCAACTTGGCAATGTTTGGGATGCAGCTGGGCAAGGTTTATCATCTTAGGGTGATGCCTCTCAATATTTGGGGTGCAAATGTGCATCATTTATGGTATCAGGATGCACTTTGCAGTGTTTGGGGGCTGCTCTGTGATGTTTGGGAGCAGCTTTGCCTGATCTGGAATATCAGGAAGCAGCTCAGCAATATCTGGGATGTGACTTTGTGTTATTTATCACCTTAGGGTCCGAGTTTGCAGGATTTGGGGAGCAGTTTCACATCTGATTTACAGCATTGGGGTCCAGCCTTGCACCATTTATACCGTTGGGGTGCAACTTTGCCTTAAATTTGTAAGATTAAGAAGCAACTTTGTCATATTTATAATATCAGGGAGCAACTTGGCAATGCTGGGGCTGGGGCTGTTCAGTATTTACCATCTCAGGGTGCAAATTTGCATGATTTGGGGTGCAAATTTGCAATACTTTTAGTACCAGGATGCCACTTTGCCAAGGGCTTGGGGGGCAGCTTCACATCTGATTTACAACACTGGGGTCCAACCTTGCACTGTGGGGTGCAACTTTGCATCGTATGTGTTACATGAAAGAGCAACTTCGCTGTATATACAATATCACAGAGCAGCTTTGCAGTGTTGGGCAGCAGCTGCATGAGGTTTGTCATCTTGGGGTGCTGCTTCCCGATATTTGGGGTGCAAATGGGCATCATTTATGGTATCAGGATGCACTTTGCAATGTTTGGGGGCCGCTCTGTGGTGTTTGGGGAGCAGCTTTGCATCTGACCTACGGTATCAGGGAGCAGCTTGGCAATACTGGAGTGCAGCTGGGCAAGGTTTGTCATCTCGGGGGACAACTTTGTGGCATTTGAGGTGCAATTTTGCAGCATTTTGAGTAGCAAAACGCAGCTTTGCAATACCAGGGTACAACTGCAGCATTTGGGGGGCAGCTCTGCGTCCAGTTTATGATATTTGGGGTCCATCGTTGCGCTGTTCATACTGTTGGGGTGCCACTTTGAATCGTGTATGTGACATTAAGGAGCATTTTTGCCGCACTTAGGGTATCGGGGACGAACTTTGCACCGTTTGGGATGTGGCTGTGCGGCATTCCCGGAATTTGGGATGCAGCTGCCGGCGCGCGCCGTCAGGGGGTGCAGCTTCCCACCGTTTCCCTGCCGAAAGCCGGGATTTCTATCCGAGCTGCGGCTGGAGCTTGGTGGGGTTTCCAGCCTCTCTGGCGGGATTTATAACGCTCGGGGGGGATGTGTTTTGGGGGCCACAGAGCCCGTGGCAGCGGCTGGTGAAGAGGATGACGCGGTTCTTCACCAAGCTGGACGCCGACGGCTCGTACCGGGCACTGAAGGAGGTGTGTGAGAAGATGAGCTACGGCTGCAAGATGAGCTGCACCAACCAGGTGGGCACCAGGGGGCCAAAATCAGGGGGTGGGACACCCCCCTCCCCGTGCTGTTGCATCGGCAGGTAACTCAGGGCACCCCTCCCTTTTGCAGGTCACCATCTCGACCACGGACAGGAGGAACAACAAACTCATCTTCAAGGTGAACCTGGTGGAGATGGAGAGCAAGATTTTGGTGGACTTTCGCCTCTCCAAGGTGAGCTGGGGGGGGGTCAGGGTGGGCACTCGGTGGTGGGTGCTCGGTGGGGTCGGGCAAGGGTGTGCAGGGTGGGTGCAAAGGGGATGAAGGGCCTTGTAAAGTGGGTGCAGGACCTTGCAGGGGGGGTGGAAGACCATGGAAGGTGGGTGTGAGGGGATGGAGAAACATGGGGGGGGGTGCAGGGTGGGCTCAGGGGGATGGAGTCCCAGGCAGGTGGGTGCAGGGGGATGTAACCCCCCCACTTCTCCCTGCACAGGGCGATGGCCTGGAGTTCAAGAGGCATTTCCTGAAGATCAAGGCCAAGCTCAGCGACATCGTCAGCACCCAGAAAGTCTGGCTGCCTGGCACCTGAGCCCCTGCACCCCTCCTCCTCCTCTTCTTCCTCTTATTCCTCTTCTTCTTCCTCCTCCTCCTCCTCCTCCTCTTCTTCCTGGCTGGGCTCCAGCGGCAGCACCCAAACGCCGTGAAGGTGCCCAGCCGCGTATTTTAGATTTTGAAGGTTCAATAAAGCCCGGGGGGACACGGAGCGATGCTGTTTCCCGCGAGGGGGAGGTTGTTGCAGTGGGTCGTTCCCTCTGGAACCTGCTGGAGGCGCAGCTTTGCTCAGCCAGCCTAAATCCCACGCCGGGGTCTCCACCGAGCCGTGCAGCCCTAAACCAGCCCCAAGGTTTAGGGGCCGACCCCCTCCTCGCCCCACTACCGCCCCTCCCTGCCCTGTCTCAGGGCAGTGGCTGCCCTCGTTTTCCAGCCTCTCTAATTGCTTTTCGGAAGGACTAACGAGCCCGAGAGCTGCCAGGGGTTGTTAGCGCTGGAGCGAGAGAGGAGAGCCGGGGATTAACCCCATCCCCTCCCCCCCAAAAAAAGAGCATCCCCCCAAAAAACCCACCCCAGGGTGCAAACCTTGAGGCATCCCCGCAATTTCTCCCCCAAAGCTGCGTCGGCGTTTAATTATTGGGGTAAAAAAACCCAAACCCGCCTGTTTTGCTTGTCTTCCCCCTTTTCTTTGGGTTTTTTTTAATATCCCTTCCCCCCCGGCTTTTTTGTTTTCCTGGTGGGAACCCCCCTTGGGCGAAGCAATTAGCGGCGATTTTTTAATTGCATATTTATATTGCAGCTGGGGAGCGAGACCCCGGCAGCGGGCGAGGGGGAAGCAGGAAGACGCCGCGCTCCCGACCTTGTTTGCTTTTCAGCCGGGATTAAGCGCTTTTAATTGTCCTGGAGATCACAGATTGCGGCCGGGGGGGATAATTAGGCTGAATACAGGGTTTTCTGGTTCATTCCCCCCAGGAATTTATATTTCTAAGGGCATAAAAAAAAGTAGAAAAGCTTCGGGAGCGCCTCGGGTTGTGGAGGGGCACGAGGCTGGGCACAACTCGTTGCACGAGTGGGTCTCGCCGTCACAACAAATTAATTTATCACCTGTTACCTGCTGGAAACGGGATGTTTTGGGGAGTCACAGGTACGTTTCCCCCTCCCCAGGGTGCTTCAGGGGCTGTCGTGCTCTGCCGTGGTCTCGTGCCTTAGCCGAGCTTCATTATCCCACGGGAGTTTATTTTCAACCCTAATTTTTAGGGGGTTTTGTTTGATTTTGTTTGTTCGTTCGTTCGTTTGTTTTTTTGTTGTTTTCCTTTTTTTTTTTTTTAACTCCGTAGAGGGGATTATTTTCCGCTTTCGGGGTCCGGGAGGGGGGGAAATTGGAGGGGGATGAAAGGTTTTTGCTGCGATGTGGCCGGGTGAGGGGGGGGCTGTGCCGGGAGCGGGGCCCTGAAAGCGCCCTTTGTGCGGCCCCGCCGGGGACCCGGCTCGCTCGGAGGCACCGGAGCGTGGCAAATCCTAAAACCAACAGCACGGCCGGGGCGGGCGGCCGGGGGGCTTCTGTCCCCTCCTCATCCCGAATTCATGGCGCTCCCGGCGGGCGCACGGGGTTCCCTCGCCCTCCTCGCGGCATCCCGGGAGCCGGGGTTTGGGATGTGCTGGGGGAGGCAGGAGGGGAGGGTTCAAGATCTAGAACGCAGGATTTAGGATGTAAGTACAGGATATGAGGGATGGAGGATTTAGGGGCTAGGTAGGGATGTGGGATTTAGGATGGAGATGCAGGATGAGGGGCGGAGAACTTGGGATGCAAATGAGAGACACAGGATTTGGGATGGAGATGCAGGATGGAGGATTTGGGATGGAGATGCAGGATGGAGGATTTGGGATGGAGATGGAGGATGGAGGATTTGGGATGGAGATGGAGGATGGAGGATTTGGGATGGAGATGCAGGATGGAGGATTTGGGATGGAGATGCAGGATGGAGGATTTGGGATGTATATGCTGGATGCAGGATTTAGGGTGTAAGTGGAGGATGGAGGATTTGGGATGTAGGTGTAGGATGGAGGATTTGGGATG